AAGGACATTTGCTGCTTTTCTTTGTTTAATTGTGTTATTAAAAATAACTGACTTATTATATACTGTATGGGAGCAATTTTGGATAGATTTTAACAATCCCGCTATTGAGACAAGGTAGAATACTAGGGACGGCAATGGTTAGGTTCAGTCAAAATCATCATCGAACCGTCAAATTTTTTGTCATACCATAACCGCACCATGACCACGTAAATCGGTTCGGTTCGACTCGATTTCGATTCGGTTAATAACCACAAAAATAAATTATTTTTTATAAGTCCATCCGCCAAATTGATATAAAATAATTTATGAAAAGAGAATTAATGAAAACAAAAACACAATATTCCAAACGAAAATGCAAACATTATCTCAAATTCCAATTACAAAATACAAATTTAACAAAAAATATTATGAATATAACAATACTAAACTTTTCCTTCATTCTTAATTCTTGTGATTTATAGTTACTTGATTAATGCTCAATAATTCAAAAACGTCAACCTTAACTCATACTCAATCTTCATTCTTTCCCACAACTCTGACTAACATAGGTCAGTACTCAAAATTGATTTATATATAGTAAATAAAAAATGTAAGTAGAGAATACAACGATCTACCTAATCTAGAATGGTTTTAACTAAGATTTAAATAAAAAAATATATCTCTTCGTCAACTTCCTTCTTACTAAACTTTGTCATCCCTAATAAAAGAATGATTTTTTTAAGCGGGTAATCGGTTCGGTTTCGGTTCGACAGCATAAATACCATACCCGCACCGCCACAAACCGGTTCATTAAAATCAAATACCATATCCGCCCCATTGCACAATCAGTACAGTTTTTTCGCTCCACTCGGTTCGGTTAATCGCGATTTTCGATTTTAACGATTCAAGTTTCCATCTCTATAGAATACAGGCTCAAAGACAGGGCTAGCGTGGCATTTGAAAATAAAATATATATAAAAACCACATTTTAAAGTGGAAAAAGCCAAACATCAACTTTATTCTAAAAATTATGCTGTCAAATCAACTGTATGAAATATTAAATTTTCTGATTTAATATAAAAAAATAAGTTTATATCCACTCACAGATCTATAGATAGAAATCTGGCTAAATTGACGAGTCTTTCTTACTTTTCAAGCTTACATGTCACTACCTGAAATAACGATATAATTAATCAAATTAAAACCTGACAATTAAATTAATACAAATCCATAACTTAACTTCTCAACTTCTATATGTATTATTCTTACATCTCCAATTTTCCAACTTTTCGTCTCTTTAATGATTTATCAACTAATCACAATTCATTATCAAATCCATTAAATCCCTCGCACTTCCTTAAAATCACTACCTTATTCATATGCAACCCTTACAACGAATTTAGTCCAATACATAAACTTCAATATTTGTCATGTAACTTAATTCGAACCTTTAAAAATCTGAAAACAAGAGCTTTGACGAAAAAAGAACTAAAATCTGATACCAATTTCTATATTAAAATTTGGTATCAAAACCTTTGACAGAAATAGCGTTATTCTGGGCAGATTTTCAGAAACAGCACCTGAGTAAGATTTTGTCGAAAAATAACTTATATTAATTACTTAAAGATGGAGAAATCAACCCCAAAGCCTTAATTTAAATGCTCGACATCATATAATCACAAAAAGATCACAGAATTAATATCCATTTCATAAACCCATTTACAAAGTTCCACTTTCTTCAACTTCAAAATTCAAAAAACACGTTTCTTTGCTATATTTCTAATTATAACACCAAATACATATTAATAATACCTAATTCTAGCTAAGTTTTGAATTGAAACAAATTTTTCATAAACCCTAAGAAAATTTTATTCAATATACTTGTTCTTACCTCTCTAAATTAAATGAGAAATTGAAGAAATAGAGCTTGGAAATCCACTTCCTCTTCTTCTTTCCTCCTCTTCCTTCCTTTCTTCTCTTCTCTTCTCTCGGTCTTTCTCGACGTTTCGCCCAAAAATGAGAAAAACTGATGTTTCTCTCTTAAATTAATAGTTAATTATGGGATATTTGCAAGTTAAGTTCCCCAATCTTCATACAATATCACATTTACACCTCACATCTTAAAAAATAAAAACTATATCCCTAGATCCCTATATTACACAATTTCTAGCCCTTGAACATTTATAATTACAATTTAATTCCCTTGAAATGTATTTGTTCCATTTAAGTCCTTATTTGATTTTGACTTTGACCAATTATTTCTCAACTTTGATTAAAAATGAGGGGTGTAACAGTTTTGGTACAGGTTCACTTCAGGATTCAGACATGCGACTATCAGCTGATTTACAAAGCGTCGTAAATTGTTTTCTGCCTTGTCCAGTAGTTCCTCTTTATAATAATCAGAGAAAATGGAAAATATTGTTCAATGTATTCAAGATGATTCTCAATAAGAAGAATTACGGTAAGCAATTGTCATGTAGGAATAGCAAGGTATTTGTAAATGCAGATGCTGAGTTTGATACGGTGGGCTTATATCGAGCCGAAATAGTTGTAAGTTGTAACTAATGTGCGTGTGTGTGTGAAGGAGATTGGATACAAGTATTGTGCAAAAATTCGCAGCAATACCACGAATTTGAAAATGTAAACTGTTTGACGGGGGTTTGTATAGCCTTCATGCAGGAGGACCAAGAGGACCAGAAGGACTATTCTGTACAAAAAAGAGTCCACTCAACATTGAATTTTGGAACACTCCTAGTGCATTCTCTTTGGGTTGGTTTGATTTATTATCATCATCATCATCATCATCATTATTATTATTTTATACTTTTCCTGCAATGCCAGGATAAATATGAATTTTTGGTTCAAACTCATCTGAGTAAATGTCATATTTATACCAATTAGACATGGAATCTTCCATTTCAAGTATAGAACACCTGAAGTTTTGAAACATAGTACGTAACCCTCGTTACGTGGCTACAGACCTGAGAATGTAGTAATACAAAACACTCTTGCCTGTAAGCAATGCCTACGAGGCTCATGCAAATATAGTCGAAGACAAACATAGGGGACGAAGGATGTACAGGAAGTGAAGAAGCTGGAAGCATGAACAACGTAAATTTTGAGTTGGTGCGTGCATCTAAGAAGATTTTAGTATTTTAGAGAGTTTTATGAAGACTATGTTCTAAAACGTTCATGGAAGATGTTTGATGAAAGATTATAGAATGCTATAGCCAAGCGAAATTTGAAGAAAGCACAAGAGCCAATATTCTAAAGTATTAAGTGGTTAGATAATTGTAGAAGATTGTAGAGACAAATCTTTTCGTAGAAAGTTCTTGTATAAATATCCTAATTATGGAATAAGAGTCTAGAGCTTCTTTCTTGACCGTTAGATAGATTTGATATCAACATTGATTTAAGAATGTAGAAGTATAAATGTGCAAGGGATCTCATTTCAAAGTAACAAACCTGTGAGAGCATAGTAGCAGCACAAAGCTAGTATTTTGCATACTAGTCTCTATTTCTCGTGTTAGTAAATTTTGCCTTTCTACATTTCATTTTCAATTGTACCATCTAACACACATTAAAGTTCCATAAATTGTTTAGAGACTGACATATCAAGGGTCGCAAAGGATAGAGAGTTGAATAGTTAAGTACTTCATAGGAGCTTGAAAGGCTGAGTTGATAGTATTGAGAATAGACAAATTCTTCGTTAAGTATGATAAGGTTGTTTCTTGAAGTGTGGGCATAGCAAAAACCCAAAAGTTAGAGATCCAACATTTAAAAAGTGAAAGAAACGTTAAAACATACACTAAAATAAGAAATACGTATAATCGTTGACATAGTACTTGTATATATGCATGTGGCCGTGGGCAAAAGTAACTTCCACCTAAAGAGAAGCAAAAACTTCCATAAAAATTCTCATAAGATCGAGAATAAAGATTTCATTCGAAGAAGAAGATAAAGCTACATTTTTTTGCATAGACATGGCAAAGATCATAGTAACCATATTATTATGTTTTTGGCATATTCGTTTCCTTTACCCATGGAGTCGACCCTCAATCGGGTCATGAACTCGAAGGTCATCATCACCGCCATCATCACCATTATGGTCCTAATTGTTCAGTTATACCTTCTCGTTTTAGAAATGGTTACTCTGCATTGTATAAGCCTTATACTTCTCTCACTTTTGCTAAATGTTGCCAAGTTCTGAATTTGATGACCAAATGTAAATTTGAGTTTTTTGTGCCAGCTGATAGATCTATAATGCATGCATTTAAGAAGTCATGATGTAAACATTTAAGAAGTTTTCATTCTAAGAAGAAGAAGAGAAATCTAAGTGATATTTTATTGTTGCAAGAACAAAAAATTCTCAAAATATTCTCATAATTTCTAATTTACTTTTTCTTTTTCATTTCTAGACACCATTTATATGTTTATTTCATTATCTACAATTATATATATATATATATCATTATCAACCCTCCAATAACAAAAAATTAACTCTACATGCACTCAACTATATATATATAAAGTTTGTAGAGACATAGAGAAATAACAAATAGAGGGGCCGCAAAATTTTATATTAAATGCGTTTGGAGGGAGAGGTGAGTGAACGAACAAAGGTTGCACTTACACTAATTCAATAAATAATATGTGCATAATTTTTTACCACTTGATTTCTAACATAATTATTACAGAAGTTTAGAAAATTATATGACATTAACAGCAACATTTTTGCCAATGGGAATAAAGTATGTACAATTCACATGGAGTTTTAACATAAGATGAAAAACATTAAAATAGACTAATTTTGCAAAGGTCAGCAAAGATTGGTGACAAATCGATATATTTCGTAAGTTGTGGATAAAGTAGTAAAAATTTCCAAATATTGGTGACAAAATGTGCAATTTTTTCTATTTCATTTCCAAACTGGATCAATAGTGCAAATTATTCCGTAATAATTACATAGCACTTTCAGCCAAAAGACTCACATTACACACTACGTTTTTTGGTTGATTCTAATGGCATTTTTATTGAACAATAGTGCTCTCTCTAAGCTCCAAATTCATTCTCAGGTACATGCGTATGGTTTATGTGCGGTTGTTATGCTGATTTTTCATCTATACACCTGTTTATTGGGGTAGATTTTCGAAATGGGTGGTATAAATTGATGGGCTATTAATGAAAAGTTACTGTAGAAGGCTGATAATTCGTTAACGCTATCAAGGCATGGATTTCATGTCGAACCTGGGACTCGTGAAAAGGCTGTAAGTACCTTTTTTCCTAGAATATCTTCACGATTTTATTTTATTTTTGGTGATAACTTATGTTCTTTACATACGGTTTTTTTTATTGCTTCTTTTTTATAATATTGATCCTTGGGATTATGTGAATTGTGACCCAAAAAATATAATAACTTTTGGTCTAAAAGAAGAAGAGGGCAAAAGTAATAAAAAAAAAAAAGCTTTTTTTTTTTTTTTTTACATGACAATACATTATTTTTTCCCAAAAAAGTAGAACAAGGGGATAAGCAGTAGACTCGTATTGCTCAATGAACATTGATTGAGATTTCGTACAATCGAATCGTCCAATGGATTTGTTCAACTTTTCTTAGCTTTTATAAAGCTTTTATTATTGAATGAAGTTGTTCAACATTTCATTCAGGTGCGATGGAGTTTTATAATTGGAATAGAAAATTACGTGTTTGAAATTAAATTATATATTTATGATTCTAGAACAAAGCCCACAATTGAGTTCAATTTTTTATGGGATTTTTTATTCTAATTCTAGTTCCTAGAATTTGTGTCGAAATGCGTAACTTCAAGTTTCTAAATGCTTCCGTTGATCTCAAAAAATATACGGATGATGTGGCCAACAAATTCGAGTTCTCTCTCCTCCATATAAGTTTTTAGTCTTGCACGCTTGGACAGATAGTAAGTCACATGTGGCCTCTTCTGGAGTAGGGGAGGAGATCACATGCACTCCAACAGTCAAGTCAATTAATATATGAGTGAGGGGGTGTGGGACATGCTAGAGACGTGAACCACTAAATAAATCAAGTCAGATCCGGGAGGGTCTTAAGTGAAACGAATAGAGAGCAAGTTTATAGTTTGGATGTATAAAGTTGTATTATTTGTAAATGACACAATGTGTGAGCTTTTATAGAAGGGGTGAAATGTTGACCGTTGGATGGAAAGACATGTGGCCTCATCACGATAGCCAACTTTTTAATTGTTCCATCATAGGCTAGGAATATTTATGGCCATTTAATCTCTGTGAAAAATTGTGACCCTGGACCCTAGGTCTAACCTCTTGTGTGTAGACTGACAATTTGACCTAAAAGTGTTATTGCACTGAATTTTCACATCAATCAATCATAAGCAGATCTTATATGAAAGATCTCTTGAGAAAATGTGAACTGGAAGATGCCTTTTGCAAATGTGGAGGCTAGGAGTTTCGCACTTCTTCCCTACAGCGGACGTTACACTTCGGCTTAGCCATAGATGGTCGGCCTCAACATGGCATCTTCATTGAAATGATGCATCACCTTGACTACCTTATATGGCCTCACTCGGCCAAGTCGGAGGTGATATGGTGTGCGGGCCTTATTAATTTACTTAGCTGGCTACCATGTTGGTGATTATCTGAAGCCTCTTCATAAAAGGCATAACAACTTCTATTACCAAGTGTTGCAGGTATTCACACTTATTGAAGGTTTTTTTGTGGCATCTAATATGTTCGAAGTCGAAGAAAAGACTAGCAAATCAATTTTTCTTTCTCCTATGAGCAAATAACTGAGAATTTGATATAATTCCTATGGAGGAGAAATGCAGATTTTTTAAATAGGTATTGATTCTCAAAGTAATAGGGAAAGTTTCTTGTTTGTTGCATTAGTTTAGGTAGTTTATTCCACTGGATTAGTTTCTTCACTTTTACTTTGGCTTTTTATTAAGATGCAAGAAATGCGTACAAGGATTTGTGTTATAGATTTGACAATGTCTGATGTTGGTTTTCAACATATCAACTATTGCATTTCTTCTCTGGACTTTAACTTGCTATGAAAAACATAAGTGGAGTTATAGGCTAATGCCGACTCCATATTTATTGAGAATGTAGTTTAGTTGTTTTTGTTGTCTATCAATGTCCATGACTGTTGTTTCTACCATTTGGTTCGTGCAAGATTAATGGCATTCCAACTTTTGACTTTGAGTTCAAAGAGTGTTCATGGACTCAATGAATTATTCCATGATTTTTTTGAATTGAGATAGTTTGAAGATTTTTCTTCTACTTGTTGGGGTAGCTCTTATATTGCAGTAGATTCGTTTCCGTTCTAATGCATTCTTACGTTTTTTTCTACTAAATGCTTTCCTTGCATATTCATTTTCATTAGAAAACCAATAAACTGTGCCATATCATATTTTAAATATCTGTGTTTAGAATCCTTTAACGGAGCCTTTACATCTATTGAGTTGTTTGACACACTTCAACCAGATGCTGGTGACATAATTATGCTAAGAGGATACTGAATGGCCACCACATGTTCATCCTTTTTTCATCTTCCATAGCATTTTGCCACTTAACGTTTTTCTGTCCGATCGTACTCCTTTTTTAGCCTTGTAACCTTTTGTAACCTTTACAGTGGAACAAAGTTGACATCAATTTATAATATTATTAGTCAATTATTGACGTAGCGAAAAATTATAGGGAAGATGAACAATCACAAAATGAGAAAACTCTCAAGAATTTTTTTATTGAATTCAAGAACTGCCGCCTTGAAGGGTTTACAACGCCTTAAATAGAAAAAAACCTATCAAAATTCAGAAAATAGAATAAAAAGTATATTTTTTCAAAAATAGGAAAATATGAGATAACTACTAAGATGGAAAATCCTTATCTTCAGGATCATCCTTCAATAAACGGAATACAAATTCGAATTTTATGGAAAGAGATATTGCAAAACCAAAAATTATCATAAATAGCAAAAACGCTTAAACGAGGGCCTAAACGATGGATTTTGCCCAAAATTTGCCTTGCATCAGAGCCAAAGGCACTGTGTTTTATTCATTGGATCGATTTTGATCAAATTAGACTAGCAATTCACCAAAAACAAACCAACCCGAAGTTATCATGAAATCAAAAATACATTATTTTGCCTTGCGACGGTCCCATTTCATCATAAACTCTAATCCCTTATGCACTTCATCAATTATCATACTTCTCAGTTTGCTTATATTGTTGTAACATAAATATTAAAAGTTTTAAGTTTTAAAATTAATACCCTTTTTTTTTAAGATTTAATAAAATTAAAAACCTTAATTGAATGATTTAATATTCATGATTGTGGGGGTTGAATTTTACCAAGGGATGGAAAATTTCATCGTTTGATGCAACTTAGAAAAAGCTTGAAAATAATCTTTATACATTTTATATTCTATTATTTTGACAACTCGATAATGGTCGTTCTTTATCTCCCTGTGATCGTACTCATAAAATGAGAACGATTATAAGCTATATGAGTTTTATCTAGGAGTCGTGTAGTGTCGAAAATATTTGCACTAAAGAAAGGTAACATGGCTCCAAGATAAAATTCATATAACTTCTCCTTCTATGGGCAAAATCACATGAAGATAAAGTACGAGTCTTTATCGAATTGTCAAAATAGTATAACATAAAATGTATACTCCTCTTATAGGGACAAATTCAACCCCCACATTCATGAAACTAAATCCCATTTAAGTAAAAGTTACAATCTAAATTATGATATTAAATTTTGTATTAAAACCTAAAATTAAAACTGAAAATTAATATTAATCTTTAATTTTGGAAGTCAAAACTTTTTGTGAGTTACAATATATACAAATAGTTACTCTTCTTTACAGTTGACTAGAGCCGAAGTTTTACTCATTTATTGGTTCGATGTACATGGAGAGAGGTTATTGCTTTCTTGTCTACAAAGCATAGATTTTTTATTACATATTAAGTGTAAGCGAGTGTTAAAACTTGATCTAAAGAATCGTAGTTCATGATAAGTGCGCCATTCTTATGAATTGGGAACACTTATAGTGGAATTTTAGATGTCCTTGGCAGCCTGGTGATTATTTCGATACAATCTGAAAGCCTGGTTTTAATTTATTTTATGTGTTGGTTGGGTGCTTTATTTTGTTACCTTGACCTCCTGTTTCGCGTGGGTAGTCGCTAACAATCAAAAAAAGGATCAGACGATTGTGTAAGGAACAGACCTCTTGAAACAAAATCCCAAAAAGGTGTGTTTTATTGGCGATGATTTACAATTGGAAATAAACAGAATGCCTCCAAGGGGCGCAAGCACACGAGTACTAAAAGAAGTGTTTAAATTGAAACTAAGAAATTAAAATTACATATTCTCTGCTTGAGAGTGTTTGATTCCATTTTCTCTATATCTTCTCTTCCTTTTTATATTCCCTTGATGATTTTCTCATGACAAACCGCTTGGAAACTGCTTGATTGCTTTATAACCACCCACTTTCTTTATGGTGGCTAACTTGTCGTGGAACTGCCGTCTCTAACTGCTGCCATTACTCTTTGTCGTTCAACCGCCTTCAACTGGGCTCCTTGAATCGTGGAATGTGATAAGATTACTCAATAACTGCTATTCTAGATAACCATAATATTTTATGTTTGCTAAGATCCTGAGCAATTTGAAGGTTTAGGCGAGAACGGGGTCATCGCTCTGGGCGACCGTAAGGCACTCCATTCACTCATATTCTGGGCGTCTTGCAAGTTTGGGCGATGATATTACTGTGTTCGTGGGCTTCCACTGCATTCATCAATAATCCTGTTTGAACATTTATCCTGGACTCCCCAATTGGGCTTCACTCTTTGGGCTATTTGATTTGGGCTGCACTTTTAGTGTGTCGACACCTCCCTTCTGCATTGCTGCGATTATGTTTGCAGGTGATATTTATCTTCCGAACCTTACTATATTTCGTACCATATTGAATCATATGTAACAATTCTTTTAGTGCCTCTCTCCCTTTGTTTCTATGTGTGTTTGGCCCCTTTCTCACCTTTCAACAAGTAATTACAATACATAAACGCTTGCGGAAGGATTGGTAGGTCGCATTCTTCACTCCAATGGCGTACACAAACATATGCTTTTATTCGATTTGCAATATTGCCATTGCTAAGTAAAAAATCTTGATTCGAAATATGATTCTCATCAAATCCCTTACTCTTGGAGTGTTGATAAGTTAGTAGAGGACGTGGATAAATAATGGACACTATTGAG